GATGAAGGGTAATGGAAAATGATCTTTTCTTGTGCTTGCATTGAGTTTGCGGTAGTCAATACATACTCTCCACCCATTTTGCACACAGGTGGGGACCATCATACCTTTGTTGTTCGTGACCACCGTGATCCCCGTCTTCTTCGGCACGACTTGAACCGGGCTCACCCACTTGCTATCCGAGATTGGATAGATCATTCCCGCATCTAAGAGCTTCAAAATCTCTTTCTTGACCACTTCCATCATTGGCGGATTTAACCTTCTTTGCGTGTCTCTACTTGGCTTGCATTCATCCTCCATTAGAATTTTGTGCATGCAAGTGGAGGGGCTCAACCCTTTGATATCCGCAATCGTCCAACCCGTGGCTTCTTTATGCTCCCTCAACACCTTGAGGAGTTTCTCTTCTTCACATTCGGTTAAGTGAGTTGAAATGATGACCGGAAGAGTCTTGTTGTTTCCTAAGTACGCATACTTCAAATGTTGAAGAAGGACCTTCAATTCTAATTTCGGCGGTTGAACAAGGGAGGGTGGTAATCTTTTGTGATTTTTAGGTAATTCAACTTGCTTCACACTAAATTGAGTGGTCTTCTTGATCTCCAAATTGTTAACCAATCTTTCAACTTCGGGGTCTAGTGAGTAGAGCTTCAACTTCTTAGCTAATTTTCCACAATCAAACCCTTTGCTCAAAACCATCTCCAACATGTCACCATTAGACAACTCGAACAACTCTTGGGTTAATGGCTCAACAAATGCTTATGTGGGTCTTCATTCTCCAATCCATGAAAAGTTGGGAGGTGATGGACTAAACTTGACTTCAATTCCGAACCTCCTTCCAAAACCGGGTAATTGATACCGGTTGGAGTTTGTGTAACATCGGTTTCCATCATTTGCCTCAAAGTTCTTTCGGGAGCTTCTCCTCCGTCCGCCATTGCAATTGGTTCAATAATAGGTGGATTTTGTTGTAGAGGTGGTGTTTCGGGAATTTATTGGCGAGGATCGGGACTAGAATCGGGTTCCGTATCACTTGATGAAGCGGGTTCAACCTCCGGATCCCCGTGAGGATTAGAAGTTTGACCACGTTCAATTCACTTTTCCTTCGCCAAACGGCTTGCTTCTTTTTCAATTTCTGGGTTGTAAATCAAGTCACCTGTACGCTGAGATCTGGGCATAAAGAAACAAATTGATTAAAAATAAACCAATCCCCGGCAACGACGCCAAAATTTGGTGGTTGTCGAGGCCAACAAAATATATACCCTAAATATTACACACTAAAATAGTGTATAGTGGTAAATGGATCGTATCCACGGAGATTGGCTCAATTTAAATCTCTATGTAAATCACATGTTCAAGTGCTTGTAAAACAAAAGTAAAAGTAAAATGGGGGGGGGGGGGGGGGGTTTAGTTCTTTTCGATTGTTTGACAAAATTAAAACTAACTAGAATGTAAATATGAAAAGTAAACAAGTAAAAGATTTGATTAAATTCAATGAAGTGAAATTGGTTGATTTTGGGTACACCACATGGATGACATGGTTGACTTATCATTAGACTAAATAGAATAACATTTGTGAATTAATTTAACTTGACTATAGCAATCCATAAGCACAAATTACCTCAACCCTTCATTGTTATTAAAATGGCTAGAGGAGCTCTTAACACATTTCCTTAGTTAACGTCACAAAATCAATGAAGCATATAATCTTGTGAAAATCAATTAGCTTTAAGTTATAAGAGTTACCAAGTCCAAAAGATAATCAAATGCTTACATTATCATTATGGAGGAAACATTTCCATAGTCTAAATGAAATGAAAACAAACATATAAACCATTTGTTGCTTACTAATTTGAGGGTCCATTACTTAACCAAGAAATTAGTCAACAAAAATAAGCATTCATTCATCTAAGCTCATGATCAAAGTTAAATAAACACAACAAGATGTTGAACTAAAAAACATTTCCATAAATTTCAAACACAAGATAATAATAGTCTTCAAAACAACCAATCATCCATGGGATTAAACCCTAATCAACCAAGTGAAAATCTAGCCAAGCATGGCCAAAGTAAAAGAAATGTAATATGGTTTAGTGATACCAAACATTGTTCTAGTTGCAAGATGGAAAGAAAATAACACCAATCTTCAATTCTTCAATTTCTTCTCCAATGTTCTTGAGAGCCAAAAGAGTGGTTTTCTCCAAGAGGTGATAATGAAAAATGCTCCAAAACTCCAGCAGATAAGGCTCATTTCCGGATTAAAAAAGTTGCACAAAAGCTACCCACCAACTTTCCACAAGTAGAGTCAACAAGTCAAAACTCGGGATCAAGTCAGCACAATTCACGCGGACCGCGTATGGGTCCACGCGGACCGCGTGGGTCTCGCTGATTGTGGGACTTGGGCCATTTAAAATACAACCTAGCCCAATCTTCTCATTCACACTTCATCCCACATGTACAACTCTTGGTAGCCCAATTATGTTGTTCCAAAGCCTCCAATGATGGTCCAATGCTTCTTTAATCCTCCTCAACTCGAGTCCTCGTCTAAAATAAAATCCAACGCGCATCTCGCTTGTACTGACACAGAGCCCAATCGCACCACTTCAAGTCCACAAGCAAACCGCAAGCCTCCATAACTCCCGCACTCCTTCCACGCCTCCAATGACAAATAGTCTTCGATAAATCCTACAAATAAGTTCAAAAGACTGGAAAGCACCCGGTAAAGGAGAAAAATAACAAAAAGAGAAAATATGCATGAAGATTAACTAAAATGAGATGGTTTTAACTAACAATAAACTACGGAAAGAAGTAATAAAATGAAGCTATCAGTAGGTATGTACTTATACTTTATAAAAAATATCATTATATTTTAAAAGTGTACTTGTACGAAATGTTTTAGTCAGAGAGTTTTAGTCCCATTGTATTTATAGTTGTATATCTTACATGGTTTGATATACTTAGTTCACTATAAACAATGCTCTAATACCAATTTGTCACACCTCCAAACTAGGATGGCGGAAACGTCTGGGGGTGGGTGACTTCATGAACAGTATCACAACATAATGTACAATAGTGATCAAAGCAAACACAACCATCATAAATATAATTGAAAATGTTACATTGTTTCCAAGTGTTGTATGTTTCAAAACCAATTACATTATGATGACAAAATGAATAGTACGACGCTGTAACGTCCCATCCTCAAAAGCCTTGTGACTATCTGTTTAACGGTTTCCTGAGAATACAAGTAGTCTTGAAAAGTGTCAACAATTAAGTTGGTGAGTCAATAAGAGTTTTGTATGTGAAGAATATGTAACTCTTTCCTTGTAAAATGATAGTGTTTGTTCCCAGAAAATCCAATATTTCCTTAAAAATGAGTTGTAGTCTTAAAAACCCTAAGACCAAAAATGTATAAGTATTTCTATACGGAAAATAGTATTACGCAGTTTTATTATTATATAAAACCATTTGAACGCATGTTACCCCATAAACTAAATATATCATTGATTCCTTTTTTGTGCTATTTCATTGAATAAAATTGTGATTTTGTGACTGTCATGACTTCCATTGAAACCATGTATGTGTTGTCTTGCTATTGTGTTGAATACTTGAAGTACTACATTATGATTAACTATAAAAATACTTAATCATTTTGTTTTCTAATTGTGGTTGTGTTGAAGTAACAAAAAATGATAAGTATTGCTTATGTTTTCTTTTTATTGTGTTAAAATATGATTAACTATGACATTGATAATTGGTCTGTGAAGTATGATTAATTAAGTATGATATGTGAAGTACGATTAACTAAATATGATATGTGAAGTATGATTTACTGATTAACTAATTAACTGCATTGGGTGGAACTTTAAAGTATGATTTACTGACTAATACTCTAATATATAGATATATATATATATATATATATATATTATATATATATATATATATATATATATATATATATATATAAATTCTAAATAATATAAAAACACTATACCACCACTATACCACAGCGAGAACCGCGATTTCAAATAGCAGTCGGTGACCGCTATTATATTTTTGACCACGATAAGTGCTTAGATTAGACAAGAACATGTCGTGGTACCAAGTAGATAATTATAAGCCTATGTAGTTCTAATCATGCATAAGACTCAGAAGACTAAGGAAGCTTCTAGACATTCTATACCATCAACTACTAAGCCTAGGCCTAATGACTATATTGTACTAGCAGCAAATAACCCTTCAGACTACTCACACACCAACCCACGAGGCTAATTAACACAATCATAGTTGACAAGGCACACAACTCATCATGGTCGAACTAAAAATAGGTTGATCGAAACCAAGGAGTTAAGAATAGTTAAAGAAATAGACGAACAAACATTTGGAAAAAATGAATTTGAGATGGAAGTTGCAAGGAAGTGGTAGTATAGCCGGAGATGGGTGGATAAATGGTTTGAGGGAAGAAGAATCATGTAGAACGGCTAACAGGAAATGGAAAATACAAGGAGGCAAAAAGGGTTGTTGGAGACGGATGAATAAATGGGTTGAAGGAGGAAGAATGTGAAGGGGAGTTGTGGGTGAGTAACGTGAGGGGAGGTAGGAGTGAATATATATTTTTTTTTAATGAAACCTACAATTAGTAAGTAAATATTTTCTAAACTACCATTAGTCTGTATATATATATTTTTCAATCACAAGCTTTTAGTAAAAAACTCTGCATGCATCTATGTGTATCAAATTTTATTTTTACGTTCAAGTTAAAGATAATGGTTTCAAATGGGAATCACTTTGCATCTTGAAAAATCTGACTATCTCTCTTCAACCTTACTAGCTAGCTTGTGACCAAATTAAGTGGTCAGTTATGGGTACTCATATAGACATAAAATATTATAAAATGCTTTCACTCTGTGTGGAAATAGGTAACTCGATCGAATATTAATTATTTTACAAAAGAAAACTCGATGAGTATTACTGGTGACTTTCTAACATATTTTTTATTGACACAGAATATGTTCAGCGGAGGCACCGATACGAGTGCTATGACAATCGAATGGGCAATGACAAAACTAATGAGAAACCCTAACGTGATGGAGAAAGCACAAAAAGAAGTGAGAGAAGCATTCAAGGGAAAGAACAAAATCACCGAGGGAGACTTACAAGACTTGGTTTACCTCAAATACATTATCAAAGAAACTCTAAGGCTTCACCCTCCTGCTCCTTTGTTGCTTCCAAGGGAATGTAGAGAGCATTGTCAAATCGATGGTTATGATATACCAGTGAAAACGAAAGTGATTGTCAACGCTTTTGCATGTGCAGTTGATCCTGAATATTGGCATGATGCAGAAAGTTTCAAACCAGAGAGATTCGACAGCTCTTCTGTTGATTTCATGGGTACAAACTTTGAGTTCGTCCCATTTGGATCAGGGAGGAGGATGTGTCCTGGTATTAATTTTGCTTTGATTTCCATCGAATCTGCTCTTGCTCAAATGCTATACTATTTTAATTGGCAACTTCCTTCTTCTAAATCAAGCCCTACAAGTATTGACATGACAGAGAGCGATGGAGGCACTGCAGTAAAGAAAATCCCATTGCTTGTAACTCCAACTCTCTATTCTTCATTTTGACGAGCAATTTAATAATGAGAACAAATAAGATCAAAGGTTGCTGAGCCTTATCTCACCTTCTATAGAAGATAAGTTTTTTAAATGTATTGTTGTTATTAGTACCCAAGTTTAAAAGGATACACCTTGAATAGAAGTTACCTCATCTTCTCAGAACTACTCGCAATGGAAAAGCATGACAAATAGCGAAGTATTTTGTGTGTTGTATCAATACATATAATATATACTTCAGTTAACTTTATCCATAGTAGCAACTTATTTACATTTTTCTTACTAATTATAGCAATTCATTAGGCTTCTTTTTTCAATTTGGTTACTTATAGGACATCCAACCAATATTATTGGGGTGATACAAATACGAAATCAACATACTAATGGTTTTAACAAATTAAAACCTTAGATAACTTGCAAACACCCCCAACATGTCAAATTTTATTAAAAAAAAAAAGGAAAACAACGTCGATCACCATGGCTGACAAAGTACAACAATTGAAAAACCAACATACCTCGAAATGCAAATCAATACACATATAAAAGAATTCAATGTAATCTATTTAGACACACCTTCTCATTGAATTAAGAAGAACGCCAATAGACAAACCTGGAGGGCGTCACTTGATGTCACCTTTATAGCATAATTTAGATTCTAGAATTCCCCTTAACACTTGATTTTTGCTAGATATCACAAAGCTTCCCTCTTGATTCCTTCATCTTTCCAATTTGATTTTAAAGTTAATGACACCTAAAGCATCTGATTATATTTAAATCCCTGCCCTTTAACACATGATTTTATCCAGAAGTTATGATAATTCGTTCTTGATATCCTTCAGCTATGCACTTTGCTTTTAAACCATTCCAAGTTTGAATTTGTTTGCCTCCTTAAAGTTTCTGGTAATGCCCCTTCCGTTAATCCTCTTTTGTGCAGCCAGATCGTGACTTGGTGCTTCGACTTCAAGGTTTCAATTATGCCCCACTGAGTGCAACTTAACCTTCGAATTTCTAATTATATATGCTCCTCCTATGACACGTCTTTAATCATCTTCAAATTTACAATTATGCCCCTATCTCCCAAATCTCTTGAATTATCTGTCACTCAACTTTGACTGTTCTCCAAAGGGAAATCTCCGGAAAAGTCCAAATATTTTACCCTAATTTACGAAAAAGTCCCAAACTAAAATTGGTTTATGAAAAAGTCCCAAAAACCGGTAAAAATGACGATTTAGCCCTATTTTCCCGGTTTACCAGTTTCATTACTTACCCGGAAACATTAAAGTCTCATTATTTTACCATAATTTTCACTAAAGTCCTATTATTTTACCATAATTTGGGACTTATTCGTAAATTATGGTAAAATAATGAAACTTTATTAAAACCGGTTAAGTAATGAAACCGGTAAACCGGGAAAATAGGGTCAAATCGTCATTTTTACCGGTTTTTGGGACTTTTTCATAAGCCAATTTTAGTTTGAGACTTTTTCGTAAATTAGGGTAAAATATTGGGACTTTTCCGGAGATTTCCCTTCTCCAAAGATCTTTTTCTTCGACTTTCCATTTATGCCCTTGCCCCCAATACTAAATACCATGTAAGAGAATTACACAAAAAATATACACAACGCGAAGAAATATATAACACCAAATTCAGTTTTTTCCATTTAAGCAAAAAGCATCACACGAAAGGCTACAAGCAACACCCAAAGGATGCCTCTTAGACGTGGCTACTTGGAATGAAGCCTCAGTCTTAAATTAGTAAACGAGTAATTAACATAACTAGAGACTATAGTAAATGCACCTAATTGACACATTGAATATATCCATATCCCGTTTTGATATATAAAAAATTTAAATCAATACAGTAAAAGTGGATTTAAAAAAATCAAGTTGTATAAAATGTTTACAATAAAAACGCACAATAACTTATTATTCAAGAAAATAAAAAACCTAACAGTATAACAAATCCTATGTAGAATTCAATCTAACAATAAAAATAGTTTGAATCCTTTTACTTTAATAAAAACCTACAAAGCCTGAAAACTATCAAACTATCATAATGATTTATAAACCCACAACAAGTTTTGAAAAACATCTAAATAAAGTCAAAATGGATAAAACCCTACTTTTCAGAGGCTGACTCCGCCTCTTCATTGTCAGCCACAAGTCACACCACACGACGATCACTACTCTTCCGAGAACCGTCGCTTTTTGTGCCTTTGTGCCTCTCGATGTCTCATCAGTTGTCGTCTCGATTTGTTGAGGTCTAGTTGTCTCCAAGTGTTCAATTATCTTTTAAATTGAAACAAAAAATTTTAATAAATAAACAAAGAAAATAACCGGGCTTTAATTTAGAAATTTAAAAAGTAAAACCAAAATTACATTATTTAAATTGATAACCATTTCTTATTATATTTATTATAATTATTATATTTAAATACTATGTGGAATTAAAAAAAATGTGGAAAAAGTTTAATTTAAAATAACAACAAAATGACATGTGACAAATAGAATGAGAATATGACATGTAATAAAAAAAATTTATTTATTAAAATAGATAATGTGATAAAATAATTACTTTGAATTTATTTATCTATTTACTTTTTCTAAATATGCAGAAAAGTAGAAGTTAGGACTTTATGTGCTTAAATGTAATTGCTTTTCTATTTTCTTTATTTATTGGGAAATGAAGTAATTTAACCATATTTTTCAAATTTTTTAAGAAATAACTGCATATATATATTTTTAAGAAAAAACCTATTTTTTTTGGAATGACCATTCCGGAGGAGACCAAAACATGTTAAGTCTATTACTGTAGCCCAATATATATATATATATATATATATATATATATATATATATATATATATATATATATATATATATATATATATGGTTGAATTCATGTGAGACAATTATATTTTGTGAGACGTGGGGACAAAATCTGAACCACTAATCTGTAATAATCTACGGGTGGAATTAACTCAAATTAAAACAATAGGGGCGGTGGCAATTTTGCAATTTCATCAAACTTCAGGATTAGAGGAAGGACACGGAGGGGTAGTTTTGACAATATACCTTCTATTCGTCAAAATAATCCACCGTCATTCAATATCTCTTCATGTTGCATCTTGCTTCCTAAAAAAAAATCTCTTCACAGATGAACTCAAATTTAATCTCGATTCAAATTTGTTTTTAAAACCCTAGAAACTGATTCATAAATCTTTCATTTCATTCTAAATTCAACAATTTGTTTTCGATTTTAATCCGTTTTACACTTCACCATGATAAACACATTGAAACAATCAGGGAAATGCCCCATTCTACAGAAGCATATTATGATTATACACTACTTCACTTCGAAAAACAGGTATTAATTCAAACATTTAGATTTCAGATTGTGTAATTAACCTGCTGAATAATTCGTGTTCTACATATTCTAATTCAGAACACCCTAGTCGGTCAAATCAAAACCCTAGATTGTATCCACATTTTTAGCCATTCTCCCAATTAACCCAATGTTTCTCAAAAAGAGTTAATTTCGCTAAGTTTGTGTCTTCTCCTTCACTGTTTTAATCTATTTTGAGGATTAAATCATATATATGTTGATTTTTATTCACCGATCAAATGAGTTATGTTTTTTATGTGGGAATCTATCTTTCGTTTGATTATTTCATGTTAAAATAGAATACAGAGGCTTCTATCATCGAAAATGGCTACATCAACACAACGTGATTCAAAATCTACACCATAAGATCACTTGAGGACATTATTACCAGACCTTGTCAAGATATTACAGGTATTTCAGCTATAACTTCATATCAAATTTATTTTTTTGTTAAAACCAAATTGTCTTGTGTTTTGGGGACTTGAACTTTCTTACTTTTCTAAAACCAAATTTGTTATTTTGTTTGATTAGTTACATGATTTGGCAAAACATTTAGTAGAATAATTTTTGATAACTTGATATTCTAGGTATTCTGATTTTATAAGTCAAATGTTAATTTCTAATTTAGTTTTAGATGTTACTTTGTTGGAATAGTTATATGATCTTGTAAAAAAGAATTTAGTAAAATAGTGTTTAATGTCTTGATATTCTAGGTATTCTAATTTGATAAATCAGATGTTACTTCCTAATTTGATTTAAGATGTTATTTTATTAATTAATCAGAATTTTACTTCAATTTGATAAGTCAAAGCTAATTCATATACTAGAATTAATTTATGATATGGAATGAGGACTGTTGATTGAATTTATAAAATGAGATGCAATGGAATGAGGACTGTTGATTGAATTTATAAATTGATGCAACTATATTCTACTTATTCTAATTTGGTAAGTCATAACTTACTTCCTAAATTGATTTTAGATGTTATTTTGTTTGAGTAATTGGATTATCTAGTAAAAATTTAGTGAAATATTGTTTGATAACTTGATATTCTGAGTATTCTGGTTTGATAAGTCATATGGTACTTCTTAATTTGATTAAGATGTTATTTTGTTTGATAAGTTAGATGATGCAGTAAAAATATAAGTAAAATCGTATTTGATAACTTAATATTCTAGGTATTCTGATTTGTTAAGTTAGGTGTTACTTTATAAATTTGATTTCAGATGTTATTTTATTGATTAACCAAATGTTACTGCTTACTTTGATAAGTCAAAACTATAATATTGTTAAGAATTTGTTATTCTATCTTGACATAATCGAATTCATCTCTTTATGTTTTAGTTCAATAATATCTGATTCAGATTTGGATTCTAGATAATGTAGATTCTAAATCATCTTTTGTAATAGGCTTAAGGAAGTTATTATTCTACTTATTCAAATTTATGAATTATTTTTCTGAAATTTATATTGTAGTTATGGTTAGTGTTTGATCCAAATTCAGTATAGTTGGGACTAGAAATGAACTTCTTTATTGTAGTTGGTTAAATATTTTTAAAATTGTTTACTGTAGCTAGGATTAGTGTTTGATACATATCGAAAGCTAATGAAATTGTTGGTTTAGGTT